TATGCTCCCCAAGGCTGAATTTCTTTTATCAATAATACATTAAAAACAGCAATATTGTGAAATATTTCAACAATTTATAATAACTTTTTTTTTCTTTTTCTTAAATATATATTATCAATTGTAATTTCTTTGTTTGATGGGTAAGCTGAATTAGCAGCCATTATTCCAGTCTTTAGTGTCACGTGATCCTTTAGAAATCATTCTAATATGAAGATTTCATGCTCAAGAAACATTACCATCAACATCAAGAAACAATATCAATTTTAAAAACAATGTTGAAAACCTGCGATTTTTTGCTGAATAAAAAGCTCAGAAGAACAGCATTTATTTGAACCCTTTGGTAACATTATGAATGTCTTTACTTTCACTTTTAATCAATTTAATGCATCCATGCAAAAAAAAAAAAACCTATAAAGAAACGTACATTAGTTTAAATATGTGCAAGTCTTAGTTCTATCCAAGGTTTCATACTTATCTTAGAGAGTTTCCCTTGCCATTATCAAGTTTGACTTTACTGGGGGTCTTGCTAGGCACTATAATATTTGTTTGTAAATCTGCTTTGGAACAATAAGAAATGTGCAATAAAATTAAACTGAAAATTTAAATGAAAACTGAATTGACTTTAGCTCTAGCATCTTTATATTCAATATCATTCAGTGGAGATCGATGATTCTATTAATATTACAGACACTGTCAACATGTGCAAAGCAGACTATGTACACACACACACACACACACACACGCTAGAAATTGTTACAGCTGTGGCAGTTTTCAGAGACTTGAAAGGCATCAGTGTCTTGTTGAGGTGAGAGAGCCGATAATGAGGTGTAATCTGAGTTCAGATATTAAGTGAGACGCTGTTGTAGACAGACAGGTGGAGGATGTGTGGGGACGAGGGGTGTGAAATTTCATTAAAATACAGCCTGCGGCAGTGTGGGGATATGGGAATTAGAGAGCAGCTGCTTTAATGCCAAGAAAAATGGCGTATCCCCTGGGAAAGGACCGGCACCTTGTGGCATTGTCATCCTTGTCTCTTTACATACTCACAATCTCCTGGAAACACCAACTTGTGCTCTTTCTGTCTTACTTCCATCTGTTTTACATACTCTACTTATCTCTCATGATTTCCTTTGGCCCCCATCCACCACTTATAAAATGTACCATGGTAACCACAGTTTCCACCATAATACCATAACATAATATCATTATTACGGTTATTGACATAGTGGAGTATATAATTATAATTAAGCGAATCTTTCATCCAGTTTTATTTAGGGCTGTCTATCAATTTTAAAAATCACATGAATTATGTGAAACTCTGATTAATTAAAGGGGTCATATGATGCGATTTAAATTTTTCCTTTCTCTTTGGAGTGTTACAAGCTCTTGGTGCATAAAGAAGATTTGTAAAGTTACAAAGACTAAAGTCTCAAATCCAAAGAGATATTCTTTATAAAAGTTAAGTTCTAACACGCCCCCGCATGTCTACGTCCCTGTGTGGGAAGATTTGCATAACACCGCCCAAATGTTCACGCAAAGAAAGAAGGCATAACTTTTATTCTCGCTGTAGTATTGTTGCCGCCGCCATGTCATAACGTGTGTTTCGTTGCGAAAGCAAAACTACTTTGTTTGGCCTTCTAAAAGAGGACATGATTAGAAATCAGTGGTTAAATTGTATTTACAACACTGTTCCAGAACAGTTTAACCCAAATATTCAGATGTGTGCAGCACATTTTATG